TCTCTTTCCTTTTTGAGAAAATGCTATCTGATCTGGAAGTGGATACTTCTGCTTAGGGTAGAGAATCATCCACCTGCACGACAGAATCATTTACAGATTCAGAAGGGTTAGAAACCCTAGGAGGAGGGATTCTAAGAAGAACGGGAGAAGACGAAGGTGTGGATTCGGAGTCCATAATCTCAATGTGGTCGTGGGAGGATGAAGTGCTCATGATACGAAATAAAAGACGAAGATGAGAAACTAATGTTGAATCACAACGAAGCAATGAAACGCAGTGAGCACAGTGAAGGCAAAAGTGAGTTTTGAGGAAGTCCTTTAGTCAGAATGTCAATGGTCACTCTTTGAACCGCCTCTTACAAAATTAGCAACCGTGCAACTTCAATTCCCTTATAATTAGGAGTCATAGTCCAATTATGGAGGGAATTGGGGGTAAAGTGTGGAGGAAAAATCCCCCTCCAGTAAGAGTCGTCCACGTCACCATAATACAAATTACACTTTGATCTTTTGATTAGATGCAGGAGCCCAAGTCAAGTCACGATCAGCCCAAGGTTAACAATGTTGAACTCTAAGCCTGTTAGCAAGCACATTCGGCCCGAGATGTATTTAACCTGATTTTAATACAGATTGGCCAAGTCCTACTCAACAAAGGGTCCTTCATAAACGGAAGTTCTGCAATAAAAAGTCTGGCGTGGAAAGAACTATAAAAGGAAATAACTTCGTAGTAAAAGAATTATATATGGAATGAATTGGGGGATAAGCAGGGCGAGTTCTACCATAATTCAACCATTTTTTTGTATATAAATAGAGGCTTAGTCCTACAATAAAGATTATTGAGTAATATACGTTTTTCTCTGAATAATTCTTGCTAATTATTATTTTATCTTGAGTGAGTTGTATTTATTCGTTTAACTTTTTTTGTTAAGTGAATTTTTACACCTACAGCTATGTTGGACTTATGATTAGTAAGTAGAGAATTGGTCTGGTTACATGTGAACCAGTAATTGGTTGAGTGATGTAATTGATTAATGTAATGCGGCAATGTACCTATAAATATGTGTGGTGGAGTATTATATTGGGTATTTCTTTCATGGTATGGTTGGTGTGCATGAATGGAATAGAATACAAGTTGGAATAGAATGAGGATGGGAAGGGAATGGAATGGCCATTATCATTTTATTGTTTGGTTGTAAATATGAAATGTGTAGAAATGAAATGATAATAACCATTCTAGTGTTTGATTGGACCAATTTAAAATTTAGAATGAAATAAATTTCAAATTAAGTTCTCTAAAATATCCCTCTTAGTAACAAATAAATTAAATTAACAAAATGATATTTTTGTATAATTTTTAAAAAATAAATGGTGGCAGTGGTGGTGGTGTTGGAAGGCAACGGTGGTGGTAATGGTGGAAGGCAGCGGCGGAAGGCGATGGTAGTGGAAGGAGATAGTGGTGTAGGTGACGGTGGTGGAAAGTAGTGGAGGTAGCAGTGGTGGTAGTGGTGGAAAGCGGTGACAGTGGTGGTGGAAGACAGTGGGGTGGTTGTGGTGGAAGGGGTCACGGTGGAGGAGATGGATAGTGGCGGTGGTAGAGGGCGGTAGTGGTAGTGGAATAAGGTGGCAGTGGTAAAAGGCGGTGGCAGTGGTGGACGACGGTGATGGTGGTGGTGGCGGCGGCGGCGGCGGAAGACGATGGCGGTAGTGGAATGCGGTGATAGTGGTGGTGGAAGACGGTGGAGGTGATGGTGGTGAAAGGTGGTGGCAGTGGCGGCGACAGTGGTGGTGGTGGTGGAAGGTTGTGGTAGAGGCGGCAGTGGTGGTGGTGGTAGAAGGCGGTGACGGTGGTGGTGGTGGAAAATGGTGATGATGAAAGGCGGTGGCGGTAGTGGTGATAGACAGCGGCTGTGGTGGTGATGATGGAAGGTGGTAGTGGTGGCGAAAGGCGGTGGTGGTGGAAGGTGGTGGCAGAAGGTGGTGGCGGTGGTGGCGGAAGGCAATAGCGGTGGCGGTGGTGAAAAGCGATGGTGGTAGCGTTGGTAAAAAGTGATGGCGGTGGTAGTGGTGGAAATCAGTGTTGGTGGTGGTGAAAGGCAGAGGCGGTTTTGATGAAAGGTAGTGGTGCGTTTTGGACTTAGAACATAAGGGTTTTTTAGGAAGTTGATTTTTAAAAAAATTTACTTGAGAATGAAATGATCATTTAGTTGTAAAATGGATTTTCATTCCCGTGAATAGATTTTCATTCCAATGGAATTAACCATTCCCACTTTAAATTGGATACCAAACAAATGAATGGTTGGAATGGGCATTCCATTCCATTTCATTCCATTCATATATACCAAACACAGCATCAGTGAATAAAACTATCTTATTTCATATTGTCACTTTGGGTAGGTCTTTCAGTGTATACATATTTTATATTATTCTTCTTTTATTGTACTTTTATAACAAACTATAAATTTACTTATACTCATTGTCATATTTAATAAAAATAAATGAATAAATCATAATATTTGTATCAATATCCAAACTATGAAATTAGACTTTCTTTAATTTTTTATTTGGGTAAATTGCACTAACATACCCTGCGATATTGGTCAACGCCACTCAGCTAACGGTCAATGGTTTTTTTAACATTGACACCCTCTGAGGTTTCAAAAATATGTATCAATACCCCTCCAGACCTCTAAAACCATATGAAATTACTTTTTTTTTTTTAGTACACATACATGCATCCACTGAAGCTCGAACTTCTGGCCTCTTTTTGAGAAGTTGAGACTTTATGAAATTACCTTTTAACCCTTTGACTTATCAACAACTCCATTTAAATCATGAAATTATAAATTTAACCACGTAACTAAATTTAATGGACTAAACTAATCTTTTCATCTCTTCTATGCATATAGATATGGTTTATATATAATAATACTTATACCACCACAACATAAAAATAAAAAATAATATATATATATATGTGTATTTTTTTTTAAATAGCTAGATAAATGTATATCACCATAACCACCATCACAACATAAAAATAAAAATAAAAAAATAAAAATAAAAATAATTTTTTTTAAATAGCTAGATAACTGTACACCATCATAACCACAACCGTAACGTAAAAATAAAAAAGAAAAAAGAAAATTAATTAATTAATTTTTTAAATAGTCAAATAACTGTACACCATCAGAATCACCACCACCACACTCAAACACCACAGTAGAAAGAAAATTGAAAACAGTTAAGGTCAACACATACTTATATGTGCCAAATGCCACCAAAACCACCACAACACTAAGACAACAACACCACCACCACCACCACCACACCAAAACAATACCACCAACACACCTAGACTCTACCAGAATCACCACCGCCACAATAGAAAAAATAAAAATAAAATTTTTGAAATACTCTGATAACTTAGACACCATCACAACCACCACCATAGTAGAAAAAAAAATTAAAAACAGCCACGGCCAGCCCAAACCCACCACAACAAGGAAAAAAAAAAAAAATAGCCATGTCCGAGATCGGGAAGAGAGAGAGGGAGTGTCGGCGGCTAAGTACTATAATGAACCAAAAAAAAAATAGTTAAAGATTAGGGTAAAGAACGAGCTTTAATGAATAGTGTAGTTTTGTCAATTAACATGAATTATATTTTATAAATTAATTGAATTAAATAATTAGGGGCAAATATGACATTTGAAACCACATGGGTGTCATTATTAAAAAAATTGTTGACGCTCATCTTAGTGACATTGACCAAAACCTAAGGAGTGTCAATGCAATTTAACCAAATTTTTTAGGGTTAATTTCAACGACACCTCTTCAGGTTTGGTCAAATATCACATTGAAACATCTTTCGAAAATAACTATCACTTATATTATAAACGTTTGTTCCGTTTTTCACTTACACACCAAAAGTTACTTTTCAGGTATGTCGATACCTTTTTGTATGTAAAATGACATTACTACCCTTCTAACTATATGTCAACTTAAAAAAGTGTTGAAATGACTTGAATACCCTTTGACTTTTATTATATAAACTTATAATTATTCTTTTATATATATATATATATATATATATTCATCATGTACAACCACCAATTTAATTTTTTTTTAAAATTATATATATATATATATATATCATCATGCACACCACCAGTTTTCTTCACCTTTTCTATATCTTTTTCTTTTTCTTTTTTAATTTTGTAATTTCCTTTTCTTTTTCATTACTGCCTACAAAGAATTTTTCTTTTTTCTTTTTTATTTTCTTTTCCTCTTATTCATTACACCTTCAATTTAAGCCCGTTGGAAGACGAAGCCAATCTATATTAGCAAATCCAACTAAAAGCAAACAGAGGCATGGGGGCATTGACTCGGTTCTCTACTCAGCTCTGAAGTGTCAACACTAAAGCAATTCACTAGTTGTCTCACCTGCTCTTATATTCTTCTTTGAAGAGGAAGATCTGAAACTCATTTGATCTTCTATTTCCTTTAATAGATAGGGCTAAAAACAACGCATAATTGGATTTCAAAATCAACTCGGAGTTGTTCACGAACCGACTAAGATAATTAGTGTTTGTAGTGAGAGATAGGGGGAGTGTGAAATTTGGGGGTAAGGGTATTTAAGTCCTTTCAATTTTTTTGATATTTTACAATAAAAGTCATTAAAAAAAAATAGGGGTAAAATTATATTTTCAACCATTTTTATCCCTGTTGGAAAAGTCATTTGGGATCTGACATTTGGAGTCTGACTCATAGTAATTTTTAAGAGGCGTTTTCATATAATATTTGACCAAACTTAAGAGAGTGTTCCTTAAATTACCCTAATTTTTTAATAATAACCAAATAAATTCAAAAAATTTATTTTAAAATTTTGTACAGTTAAAAATTTTGGGTATTGGATTGATTAAATAAACTCGTAAAAATTACAGTACCTTCCTATATACAAATTTGATAACCTTCCTATATACAAATTTGATAACCCTTTTAAACAGATTTTTGGTAACTCACGACTAGTACTTACCAAAATCATTCTACTTACAAGCGTCTCATTCTTATCCTCAATTCCATTTTTAGGTTACAATCAAATTTCCTTTTTCAATTCTGATTTCAAATCCTAAAGTTGGTTCCAAACAAAGCGCAATTAGGTTTTCATTTCACTCCCTTTTTAGACACCGCCTCTGACGATTGCAACCCGCACCCACTCGCGACTCACCAGTCTTCGCTCCTCAGCCACCGTCTCTTTGGCTTTCACTTGGACCGGCTATCTGCATCATCATGAGCCACCGTGAGCGGAGGAAGAGATCTGTTACGGACGACGATATTTCCGATTATTTGGCCAAGAAAGCGCAGAAAAAGGTTGGTGTTTAATGATTAATGAATGATAAGTTGTTGTTTCTGGCGTTGTGTTCGATGGTTTTTGTGGTTCTTTATTTTTTGTTTATGTTCTCGTTGGTTTTCTGGTTCTTGTTTGATGTTTTAGGCGCTCAAAGTCGCCAAGAAATTGAAGGCTGAGTCAGTGTCGGGGTATTCAAATGATTCGAATCCCTTTGGTGATTCAAATCTCAATGAAAAGTAAGTGAATTCTTTCTGAATGTTTTAGCTACAATTAGGTATAGTTGAGAGTTCAGGATTTCTAGATTTGTTTAGTTCAATTCAGCGATCAGGTCCCTAGCCTTATTTTTTGGTTTAATTCTATATGTATCAGCTCAAATTGGTATCAATTGCTATTAACTTGTGACAAAAGGTGAATGGTTTTGTATTAAGAAAAAGAAGAGAAATGTTCTATTGTTAATTTTGAATACTAAAAATTTTGAAAAATCTGAGTTTCAGGTTTGTGTGGCGGAAGAAGATTGAGCGTGATGTATCTCAAGGCGTGCCACTTGAAACATTTTCGGTAAAATCTGAAAAGAAGAAACAAAGAGAAAGGATGGTATGTGTTTTGTTGATATTATTTTTTTTATTTTCCTTTTATTTCTTTACCAGTTTCCTTTCACATCTGTAGCTCTATAGCCATGGCTATGGTCTTCGTCATTCCTGTAGCTCATAGCTTCTATAGTTGTTGCTATAGTTCCGTTATACTTTCCTTTACTGGTTATAGTTGTAGCATCAGTAGCTTTAGTCCCTTTTTCATTTTGATCTTGATCATTATAATGTATAGAAACAACTAGCAAAATTTTGAAGATCAATTAGCAAAATTTCGAGCTTGCAATAAATCATCATTGTATCTCTGCCTTTTGAAGATCAATTAGCAAAATTTTGCATTTGTTGCCATTTCAGATATTAATTGCACCCTTAACTTTATGTTTCAATCTTTGGTCTCAAGTGTCCTTGCACGAGAGAGGGGTCACTCCCAACTTTCAACATGTGCTTGAGCTCCCATAAGATTGACTGTCAGCCAGTTTTGATTACTTTTTTATTGCAGAAAGTCTTTGTTAGACTCAGTTCCTTGTGTTGTTTTGGTGGCTAATGAGTGCATGGGTTCCATAATTAGAAGTTCTGCCTAAGAACTACATGCATGATAAATAATGAGTCAATAGACAATTGCATTATTGGGGATTCCTTTTTTAAATGATGCAATAGATGGGATTAGGGGTGCACATGGTTCCGGCCGGAACTGGAACCGGAACCGTTCACGACGGTTCCTTGAAAATGGAACCGGAACCGGAACCGGAACCGTGAAGCATGGAACCGGAACCGAACCGTAGAACCGCTATGGTTCCGGTTCGGTTCCATGAGAACCGTTAAAATATGCGAACTGCAATAGGTATGGAAGTCATCCCATGGAAAAAACACCTTGGAAACATCTCCATCTCTAATGAACAGAGAACTCGATGGGGAGAGGATCTGAAAAACTCTGATTATAGAGAACATGATCACGTAAAACTCTTATGAACAAAGAACACCGACCAAGAATTTAATAATCTTGGAAGAATTTTGGAGGAAAATGCAATGATCTAAGTCCGAATGTCGTCTCTCTCTACTTTTCAACCCAAATTGGAACCAACAATTAAATCCAAAAACCAAACCAATACATACAAAACGGTTATAACAGATTTCAACCCACCCTTAATTCGATGAAATGCTTACTAAACCTTATCTCCCGTGTACCATCTTTGTGATCATTTTTTCACTATTTTCCTTTCTTGTTTGTATTTGAACTGAACACTGTGTGTTTTCCTTATAGACGACTGCATATCGTGAATAAAAAATAAAAAATTAAAACAGGAGAGAATTTAGAAGCAGCAAGGTCAGTCATGATGGGATTTTGTTCAACTGCCGAAGAGAGACACCCGCCAATATAAATCCTTTCTATAATACATATATATATTATAGAAAATTGTCTAAGCCATACGGTCCAGCCACCCTTATCTTTACATTTTTTTTTATTATTATAAAATTAAATATATAATACATATATATATACGGTTTCGGTTCTTACCGGTTCCCACGGGCTGGAACCGGAACCGGAACCGGAACCGGAACCGTTTGTACACGGTTCCTAAATTCGGAACTGGAACCGGAATCGTGAGAATCGTGAAAAACGGTTCCGGTTCTCACGGTTCCGGTTCCGGTTCCGGATCCACGGTTCCGGTTCTTTTGTGCACCCCTAGATGGGATTTGGGGGAAGTGGAGAAAGGTTGAATTTTGTATTTCTACAATAAGATTCACCATCTTGGTTAATGATAGGGATGTCAATTTAACCTGCCCTGTCTGGGCCCCGCCTTGTCCCACCCCTATTGGGACGGGTTTGGGATCATTCTAATAAGGTTAGGGGCGGTTTGGAAAGAGAGTTTAAAACTTGCAAAGTCCTAACCAACCCCAACTAATAATAAATATTTAAAGAAATATTATTTTATTAGCTATAGTTTTATTTTTCCTTCATTTTTTACAATAATTTAATTTTTGACAACGTTTTTGTTTTTTGATTATTAAGGATCTGTCTATATTTAACTTATCCAAAAAAAAAAAAAAAAAGAAGGAAGGAAAAGTATTTGTATATATTAAATTTATCTTCAATTTGTTCAAGTTTGAATTGTTTTTCTTAAAATATGTATACTGGGAGATGGGTTTGGGATATAAGGGTGCCCTGTCCTAAACCCGACCAGTTGACATCCCTAGTTAATGGATTCTAGTTGGCTTCTTTGTTTCGGATTTAGGGGAGCTCTTGCGTGGGATTGCCATATTTCCTTCCTTTTCATTCTATGGATGGAGGCTTCGAGTAATTTGGTTGAGAGGACAGTGGCATTGATGATGTTGAGGGGTTTCATTATTAGGGATGTTAGGAAGCCTCTCTTTTTTTTTTCTTAGTTGTTAGGAAGCCTCTTTAGCTATATCATATCTATTTTTTGCTAATTAATTAATGCATTTGAGGGCCTTTCTTCTTTATTCCAAGGCAATTCAGGCCTAAAGGTGATGTGGAGAAGAGTGAACTCATTCCAGCGAGGGAGGTAGAGAAGGCAGTGCGTGTGGATGCTAAGGTGTTTTATGTTGGAGATATTTGAAACATGTTTTGCCGACTCGGCTGTGTCGCAACAGACTTGGTTTTTGTGGAGTCCCAGTCGGGTTGATATAACAGTGATAGTCAAGAATCGCGTGCGACTCTGTAGAACCAGCCGAATCGGGCCCGTCTCAATTGAGTCGGCTTGCAGACTCAGGGTCTGAGTAGGGTTTTTGCACCAATTTCACCATTCTCTGTCACTTTACCTGCATTCTCTTACTTTTAAACTTTACAAACAACTTTGATTTGGTCATCAATCACCAAAATATACAAGATTTAGTCTTAACTTTTTAAACAAAGACGTTGTACATAAGAGAATGGAAGAGAGACTTCCAAGATCCACAATGGGTGGCGTTTGGGGAATGTTCATGGAGTTTGATGAAATGAGAGGTTAGGTGCTGGTTGGATTTTGTAGATAGAGTGCGTGTTTGTGATGGGGAGAGAGAGAGAGAGAGAGAGAGAGAGAGAGCATATGATACTTGCCAGCATTTATAAGCCTTTAGTCTTATCAAAAAAAAAAAAAAAAAAAAAAAAAAAAAAAAAAAAGAAGGCCTTTAGTCTGCTGTCTACTCCTGAGATGTTGGGAAGGAGTAAGGGTGAGATAAAGAGCTTTATTTACCTGTTTGGATGAGAAATAACCACCTGTTGTACAAGGTGGTAAGCATGAGAGAGAGAGAGAGAGAGAGAGAGAACAAGAGAGCATATGATACTTGCCAGCATTTATAAGCCTTTAGTCTTATCAACAAAAAAAAAAAAAAAAAAAAAAGCCTTTAGTCTGCTGTCTACTCCTGAGATGTTGGGAAGGAGTAAAGGTGAGATAAAGACCTTTACTTACCTGTTTGGATCAGAAATAACCACCTGTTGTTCAAGGTGGTAAGCATGATCCTGGTTCTGCCCCATGCTAAACTTTGCCTTTGACAACTATGAGGCACACACGTTTTTTCTGTTTTTGGAAATTTTTTTATTTCCCTGTATGTTTCTTCTATTTTGGAATTTAGGTTTTTCCTGTGTAGTCTCTCTGTTTAAAGTCAATTGCTTCAGATTACTTACCGACTCAGCTTTACACAGTTAATGTCATTATTGTCCTTACCTTTGATGTTTATTCTTCTGTACTACGACGCTTCGGTGTAGTCATTCAAATTTATTTTGCAGGCAGAAATTGAAAAAGTGAAAAAGAGAAGGGAGGAAAGGGCCATTGAGAAGGCACAACATGAGGAAGAAATGGTAAGTTTAAGGTTTTTTTTTTCCTTTTCTTTGTAATGAGGTTTCTCACTGATTATTTGTTCAAAGAATTATTAACTTATTATTTGAAGTTTAACTTGTAGTAATAATATTGCATCTTCTCCTTTTGCTCCACTGTGTATACATTGGGGCTTAACATATGTGGAATAATGTGGCTTCTACCTTTTGCTAGGCATTGTTGGCTCGAGAGCGTGCTCGGGCTGAATTTCAAGACTGGGAGAAGAAAGAGGAAGAGGTACAGCACTGTTCTGAATTTGATATTTTATTTTTGTCTTTCCCATTTCTGTGTCACCTTATAATTTTGTCTTTTAGCTCTTGTTCTTGTTGTAGGTTTTACATATATTTTTTTCTCTCTTTTCCATGTTCTACACCTTATAATCTTGTCATTTAGTTGTTATTCATGTGGTAGGTTTGTCATTTCTTTTCCATTTTCAATTTAAATAGTTGCTAACATGTTCTGTTTACAGTTTCATTTTGATCAAAGCAAAGTTAGGTCAGAGATTAGGTTGCGTGAAGGGCGTACAAGACCTATTGATATTCTCTCCAAGCAACTTGATCCTTCGGATGATTTTGATATAGAAATTAATGAACCATACATGGTTTTCAAGGTAAAAATCCATTTTTTTTAATTATTATTTATAATTTAGTTTTCTATGTCATTATATAATTTATGTCTACTATGTCCGCCTTTCAAACCTTTTGGTTGGTAATCTAACTTGTTTTATGTAAAAAGAGTTCATGCTTGCACTACTGCAAGGAGCAAGAGAATAAATACAATAATTACTATGTGATCACGATTTCTTTCACTTGCAAAAACTTTAAATGCATTCTGTCATTCTATTTATCCTTGTTACATTGTTCTGTCTGTGTTAGTGATTCAGTGCCTTGCTGTAAAATTGTTCACTTAAAATTGATATGGATCAGTTATTCAGGATATGAGCATGCTATTCGCAAATATTAGGCCTGATCACGGTTCGGATTGGTTCGGTTTGGGGATAAAGATCAAGCTGAACCGGTCCCCATGGATTGGCAAAAATTGAAACCGAACCGATCCGTGAGGGCCTTCAAACTGAACCAAACCGATCCGTGAAGTAACGGATCAGATCGGATCGGTTTTTGCGGATTCGGCTGATTGGGCTTTGTCAATCTTATTTATTTATTTTTAAAAAATATGAATACAAAATCAATGATATTTACAGGGAAAAAGAAGAGTCCATGGCAGTAAGGAAACCCTAAAAGAAAAAAAACACAAAGAATCAAAATTTTAGAACAAGCAAAACACCTCCTCAATCCGAGATAGAGTTTCATATGGGTCTATTTTCCAATGAAAAAACTTTAACTTTACATATTGGGAAGGGTTAGAGCAATGGAGCCCTCCGTGATGGCGTATACAGTGGAACCCGAAGCCACACAGTTACAGTTCAGCCACGGGATGGCCGTCGGCGGTGTCGTCTTCCAGAATAAGAAGATCCATCACTGTGTTATGGTGATTAACAGAAAATATTGATGTTATGTACAAAAAATGTTCAGAGAAGAGGAGAATAAGAAGATCCATGCAAAAATTTTGTGAACTCACCGGAAAAGAGGTAGATCCGCTTGAAGAGGTCGCCGTTGCTTCGATACGCCGAGGTTGTCGTTGCTTCGAATATGGTGAACGATGAATTGAGAGGTGAGAGATTGGGAGACGAAAAGTGAACAAAAATAGAGGTAAAGAGCGAAGAGTTAAGAGTTAAGACTGTCACAGAGGCAAAGATAACGTCTAGAGAAGAGGGTGAAGAGAGAAGAGGGTGGAGCGAAGAGGCGAGAGAGGCGCGGCTAATGAAATGAGATGCCAGATCAGAGTAGTGAGTTATTTGGGAGCTAGGGTTAGAATAATGAATTAAAAAAAAGAAAAGAAATAAGGCAATAAGTGTACTGTATATTCAACATTGGATATATATATATATATATATATATATATATATATATATATATATATAATATTATTCACGGTTCGGTTCGGATTGACTAACGGTTCGGATCGGTTAACGGTTCAGATCGGTTTTTTCAGGGGTCAATCCGTTAACCGAACCGCGAACACTGGATTACAAAATTTTCAAACCATCACTGAACCATGAGATATGAAAACCGAACCAAACCACACGGATCGGATTGGTTCGGACCGGATTGACGGATTATTTGCTCACCCCTAGCAAATATTGTGGAAGTAGTGTTAGTCACAGTTAAAAATAAATAAATCATATGGAGCATTGACACTTAAACAGGGCGTAGATTTGACATGAGATGAACATGCTTATTTGAAAAGTAGGACGTGGGCACAATAAGGACACGGAAGTAAGAAAATATTTTCTTATGTGTAATTATACTATACATGACGGGAATTACTTTTTCATAAGTAAATCTAAATTTTTTCTTATACATAATTCACTAAGAAGCACGGAAATGGATCCGGGACACGGACATGGTGACATGACATGGCAAGTCATAAAAAATTAGGACACGGAAATGGAAACAACGGGGACACGGCAAATAATATATATATATATATATATATATATATATATATATATAATGTACTTTAAGAAATTAAGAGTATTATTATTTTTATCAACCTAATAATGTAAAAAAATTGTGCTTTTGCCGGGAAAAAAAAGAGAGAATGATAGAAAGAGGGTTAAGAAAGAGAAGAAAATAGAGAAATAAAGAGGATTAGGGTTTTGTAAGAAAAAGAATTAGGGCTTAGTTAGTAATAATCCATAGAAGAGAAAAAGTTCATAGAAACAAGAGGAAAAAGGAAAAAGAGAAAAAGAATTCTGTTGTGAATGGAAAAAAAGAAGAAGAAGAAGTATCTAGGGTTTGTGAAGAAGAAGAAAGAAAAGAGGACAAAGAAGAAGAGAGAAAAGAGGAGAAAGAGGAGGGAGAGAGACCATCCATTGGGAGCAAAGTTTGGTCAGTGGGAGAAGGAGAGAGTCAAAGATGATTGTGTAAGAGTTTGAACCTTTAAATAAAATATATAAGCATTCTGAACCTTTGTTGTTCTTTGGGTGCGCTCCCCTTTTGAGTGCCTTTAATGAATTTTTACTTATCAGAAAAAAAAAAAATAAACAACTACTCTTGTTTACACTTCAACCTAGCTTTCTTTCTAAAACTTTCTTAAAATCCCCAAGTGCCTTACTTATAAAAAATAAAAATAATAAAAATAAAAATAAAAAAAACTCCCAAGAATGGGACATGCGTGTCGGACACATATCCATGGTGTGTCCATTCCGTTTCTGATTATTCAGACACGTTTTATGGCGTGTCTGACACATGTCCGGCACGGATTCTTTGCTCTTTTAGGCGTGTCCATGCTACTTAGATAATTCATAATTATCTACATCTAACAGAAGTTACTTTATGATAAGTTAATGTTTTGTGTATAAACTTAAACTATGTAACTTTTGAATCACATAACCAACATGATGAGGACACTATATTGTGATTTGTGGGCATATATTTATGTTGATATGTATGTATTTGCTTCTTTTTTTTATATATAAGTAAGATCGTACTAAAAAAGCGTTCAAACGGGGAATGCATCCCTCAAAAGCCACACAAGGGCAGATAGGGCCTCTAAACTCTCAAAGAGTCCAAAAATCAACTATCTCCTCCATGGATTTAGAATTACTCCCTAGAACCCAACAAAAAGAGTGCTAATATTGGAGAACTTCAGCGCATCAATAGGATTTTCCTTTCCTTCAAAGGATCTCCAATTTCTTTCGAGGCATAAACACCACCAAACACACAAAAGTGTGACCTTCCAAAAAATCGCGGACTTGGGCCCCCACCATACGCCCTCCCCAAGCCTCCACCAAGTCTCTTGAGGACCTGGGCATAACCCACTCGAATCCAAACAACATAACCCAACAGTCCCTAGCCACTGGGCAATGCAAATGAAGATGAGTCACTGACTCCTCATCCCTCTTGGGACATACACATATTTATCACAATCTAACGTCTCTTCCTCAAATTGGCAAGCGTCAAAATCCTTCATAAGGCTGCTGTCCATCCAAAGGGTGGCCTCTTGTTCTCTAAACTGATTTCTGTGAAAAGGTAGACACCTGAACATCCTGGAGCCACTAGGAAAAGGATCGCACAAGATGGAAGTTGGAACACAATGAAAATTTATCTGTAACACTAATACTCCTCGAGGAAACTGTGGTTGCTTTCCTCCAACTTTGGTGCATAATTTTTATTTGATGTTCTTTACATATTTGATGTTCTTATAACGAGCATGCAAAATTTCCATTTTGATTTTCCCCAGCCTTCTTTTCTCTTCATGTATGACTTTATTGTACACACAGGGTTTGACCGTAAAAGAAATGGAGGAGCTCCGGGATGACATTAAAATGCATCTGGATTTAGACAGGGCAACACCAACGCATATAGAGTATTGGGAGGTATAATTTCGTTATATTTTCATATATGATATTAAAATGCATCTGGATTTAGGAAGGGATATGTTAATGTTTTAAAAAAATATCTCATTTTACTGAGAGACATTGATCTGAAGGCCCTTGTTGATTTTTACAAATTAAATCATAATTTGGTAGGATTAAAGATAAACGTCTTCAGATATATTGTGTACGTCTGTTATTTATCTCCCAATAGTTTCATGTTATATGAAATTCAACAGGCACTCCTGGTGGTTAGTGATTGGGAGCTATCTGAAGCTAGAAAAAAGGATGCACTGGACCGAGCTAGAGTGCGTGGAGAGCAACCACCGGCTGAGTTGCTTGCTGAAGATAGAGGTTTGCACTCGAGTATTGAAGCAGATGTCAGAAGTCTGTTGCAAGGAAAAACCCGTGGTGAATTGGAAGTATTACATTCTCAGATAGAGTCCCAGATGCGTTCTGGCACAGCCAAGGTAGTTGAGTATTGGGAAGCGATACTTAAACGTCTCCACATCTATAAGGCAAAGGTATTTACAACTCAACATTCTTGACTTGCCTTCTATTCACAATGTTTGGTGTTTTTTTTTTTGCCCTTTTCCCTTTTTCCCGGTCAACTTCTGATTTGGAGGTCAGCAATTAATTACTGCATTTGCAGGCTTGTCTTAAGGAAATTCATACTAAAATGTTACGCAAACATTTAGAACGCCTTGAACAACCATTAGGGAATGAAGATAACTTGGAAATGGATGAGAGTTTACGGCCTCCTCTAGAAGAAGAGAGTGATCATGATATAGATGCTCCAGCTCTCTCTCCTGAACCAATATTGAATGAAGAGACTCATGAGTCAGAAGACGAGGCCGGATCATATTCACCTGAGCTGTTACATGGTGATGAGAATGAAGAAGCTATTGACCCTGAAGAGGACAAGGCTATACTGGTAAGTTTCCTATATGCTTAATTATTAAATTAATTTTATTGGATAAGTAATTATAAAATTAAATATGATAAAACTGTATACGTATGATGATATAACAACAGGAATGGAAACGTAAGGCAGTATTAGAAGAACAACAAAAACGGATACAAGAAGCAATGGTTTCAAGGCCATCTCCATCTGAAGATAATTTGGAGATGAAGGCCATGAAAGCTATGGGAGCCATGGAAGAAGGTGATGCAGTATTTGGCTCAGGTTCTGAAGTAAACCTCGATTCACAGGTAAACTGTCTCATCTTGACTGATTTTTTTTACCCTTTGAATAATCATTATTATGTTTTACATACCACATTGATGTGAATGCAGGTGTACTGGTGGCATGACAAGTACCGCCCGAGAAAGCCCAAGTACTTCAACCGTGTTCACACTGGGTATGAGTGGAACAAATACAACCAAACTCACTATGATCATGACAACCCACCTCCGAAGATTGTGCAAGGATACAAATTTAATATATTCTACCCGGACCTTGTTGACAAAACAAAAGCTCCTACGTATACAATAGAAAGGGATGGGGATAGTGCAGAAACCTGCATTATAAGATTTCATGCTGGGCCACCATACGAGGATATCGTAAGTTTTCGTTTTCTAAAAATCTGACAACACTTAACAAAATTTACTTACAATAAGGAAATTTTTTTTGCTGACTATCCCTTCCTTGCACTTGTAATTCAGGCATTCCGGATTGTCAACAAAGAGTGGGAATATTCACATAAGAAGGGATTTAAGTGCACATTTGAACGAGGAATTTTGCATGTATATATAAACTTTACACGGTACCGATACCGTCGATGAGATCTGGTGAGCTACAAGTCCCTGGTTCCTTTTTCTTGTCAAAGAGCAGAGACCTCGTGTGGGGATTCAGGAGAAACGTTAAGTCCACGGTACAAGGCTAAACCATCCTTTTCTGACTTCAATTGTGTAAGATTAATGCTCCCAAAACCCATGATGAGATGAAATAAAGAAATGACTAGTGGCTAAAGCTTTATCTTTGGTTATCTCATTTGTTGGATGCTTTTTGTGAATATAGAATTGCAGAAATGAAAAGTTGCATTTATTAGAAGTCCCTCCTCTTAATCATATGTTATATGCTCTTAGAAAACCTTAGAAAACCCTTTCACATTACAAATGGACCCTTCTTTACTGGGCATGGTCATGATTACATGCATTGACAAATTAAGACTTGTTCATGGGATTTTGTTTTGAACATGGTCACGACATGAAGCATGTAATATATATACATATGTCCATCGGTTTGGTTGTTTTCCTCTGTCTATCTAGGCAATTGTACATGTATAAACAATATGTATGCGTGTTTTTTTTTTTTGCTTCGTTTCGTTTTTACCTAGGCAAGAAACTCAGGCATCCGCTTACTGTTAGAAATTTGTGAACAGGTCTTCTTGTTTATTATTTCCTCGAGACACTGTTGAATGATGTATGGCGTGACTAGAGTACAAGTGCTTACACTAAATGTGACTCACCCTAGGGTGTTTTTTTTTCTTATGGAAAATGAGTCAATCACAGCTCAATAGTCGTATTATTACTAGTACCGCGCTATAATTTGTCATTTTTCTTTAAACTAAAATCAGTGTGTGTGTGTGTGTGTGAGAGAGAGAGAGAGAGAGAGAGAGAGAGAGGATTCTTGGAATGCGGGTAGATGCAGTACTGGATTGAATGGCACTTTAATTTTGTAAAGAAGCTGCATATGGATCATGTCTTTCTGCTAAAGTTGGAGAGTTACTTTGCAGTACCAATGATGCAAGTATATAACTATATGCATTATTATATGTTTATGTGTGTGTGTGTGTGTGTGTGTGTGTGTAGCATAGATTTTACTTCGATTTCAAAATTTACAATAAAACAAGGCCAACTTTTCTAGAATCCGAGGTTGCCCCACCCTTTCCCCACACAGATTTCTTCAGCTTTTGGGTCAAAACAGGAACATCTACATGGCCAGTTTTGGTGCACCTATAAAGTTCCCTTCAACTCCATGCTATAATACACTTAAAACCTAATTGCCTTGTTAGTTTATTTATTGTATTGTTTTTTATTAGTTTATATATTTATTTTACAATTACTATTAGGATTTTCATTCAGTCATTTTAATGGTACTAAGGTTCATTTCTTTTGTTGTATTCCAAATCCTCATTGCATATTACTTACTGTAGGCCTGGTATTGTACGCTGGAATGGGAATGGAATGAACCTGGGAATCATTTCCATTCCATTGCTTGGTTACAAATATGAAATGATGTAGAAATAAAATGAAATGATGTAGAAATGAAATGGTTTAGGCCGAGAGCGATTGATTATTGATAGTGTGGGTTGGGCTAGGTTCTTGGGCTAAATATCTAGAAACATTTGCAGAAGCCAACACTTTTTTTTACCAAAAGTATGAAAAACACGTCTGCCTGTCCTTTGTGATAAGATGAAAAACACATCTGCCTGTCCATTGTGATAGTGGGTTGGGCCAGGTATCTAAACTAATATTAGAGTTGAGGCCCTGTTTGGCATGTGTTGTGTTCTTGGCGTTTTGTTTTAGCCTAAAACAAAACAAGAGTCTTTTTATGAAGTGTTCTGAGTTGAAAATGGAAACATATTTGGCGATAAAAATTTGGAAATTCGGATATAGAAACATGTATAACATGTTTGGCAGCGTGTTTCGTTTTAAGAATTTGAAAACAAAACATGTTTGGCAAACTTTGACTGTTGTCAAAAATGTTGAAACAAAAAAAAATAAAATAAAAAATAAATAAAAACCTGTTAGGCAACAGTGTTTTTGTTTTGTTTTTAAAATATTAAAATATATTAATACATTATTATTTAATTATAATAGTACATTATTTGATATGGTTTGAAAATTTATTTACACATTATTATTATTTTTAGTATAACACTTTCAATAAAAAATCACAAAGTGTATTAATAGATTCTTCAAATCAATTTATGCGAGATTGGCAAACTCCAAATGCCTCCATATGCCATTAACCTACATTATAACATTCTCCAAACTTTAAAACCTGTTGAAATCATTAGTTGCATTTCCAAGCCCTAAAAAAAGATTACACTCTCAAATTACGTTCGTTCTTTCTGTTCATTCTTTCTGTACATTGCTGGGTTACTTTCATTGTTTGGAAATTGGAAGATGACAAGAAAAACATTATAAGAATTGGAAGTTGCACGTGCATGGAATAAAATATTGAATTTATAAAGGTATTTGACATGAACAATAGCAACTGTTTTGCATAATCTCAGTCAATATATATACATCTGTGTAGTGTATTGATACTAGAAGTTCAAAAAAAATATACAAACTGATATACAAGGCCATCAACCAAGGGTATCCCTTTGCTATACAATATCAACTGCAAACCAGGAAGCAAAAGCTAACCCATATAAAGCAATAGAAAAAAAATATATATATATTAAAGCAATACAACCAAACCAATTACTCATGACATTCTATAGGGAAAACCTCAATAATCCAAGCATCTCCCATTACACAACAGCAAGCAAATTCCATCTCATCAAAGCATTACAAGGTCTTGACCTTAATTTTTCTCACAACGTCCATGGAAAGAGTATATAGAAATGACAACAGCAAGCAAATCCCAGCAAACTCATGCAAGCAAATCCATCCCATCAACGCATCCCAACAGCAAGAAAATCCCAGCAATGTTCCTCACAAGGTCTACGGGAAGAGGATATAGAAATCTTGTTCTTCATAGACTTGGCTCTACAAAATGAAGTAAAAGCTCTAACCAAGTACACGAAAAGTTTGAAATTTTATTGGTAAAAAAAAAAAAATAAAGCTTACTTTTATCAAGCTTTTAGTGACAATGACACAGAATATGGCCTCCATAAATCCCAAAATAGCAATTGAAGTCCAAAACATCGATTGAAGTTTAAAACAACAAACTCACTCATGCATAGAATAACAACACTTGCTGTAATGAAATGCCCAAGTGTGACACAAGCAATAAAGTTTGTAAATTTTTTTTTTATAAAAAAAACAGCTTACTTCTTTCAAGAATAGATGCTCATTATGATCCTCTGCAGCCCAGCAATTTTGGCATATGGCAGAAAGACACATACCTTTCTTTCTGAAATGATGCCATGGTGTAGTGCATCATTTCTCTGCAACCAGATTCTCAAAATAGTGTGATTGAACATAGAACTCCAAACCTTAGCTTTGAAGGTTTGACCCCGAGTGTGAAGCAAGAACGGATCAGTATTTTGAGAAGATGACCTCAAAATGAATTCAGTCATAGCAGTCCCATTACACAGCAGCAACCATATGCAAAAGATGAGCACATAATAACATCACCCAATTGTACACAGAAACATATGACAGCAAGAAATGAATTATACCAGGTATGAAATATGCTTACTTTTTTTCAGGCTGATTTAAAAAATTTGGAAGATGAACTCAAAATGTATACCAACATAGCAATCCCATTATACAGCAGCAACCATATACAAAAGATGAGTACAACATCACCCAATATACCAAGTATGCACACAACAACATAAAAACATCACCCAACTCAAGTACAAGTATTACACATCAGACTACTAAAAAGTTCCAAAAAAGTGTAGAGATGGTAAAAAAAAAATATACCTTTTTTCATGCCCATATTTCTATCTTTTATATTCCACTCAAGATTCATCATCCCATATAGCAATGACAATTCATAGCAGCCTCCACATGCACACGGCACCACAAAAACATTACCCAAAATGTGAAGTACACAACAACTATAACATCATAGAATAGCACACTTGCGCTAGTGAAATGCCCAAAGCGTGAACATATATAAAGTAAAGGAATAAACTAAAAGGTAATAACTTACTTTTTTTCAAGCTTAATGATCAATGACAGAGAAAGTTCAGTGATATCCCAAAATATAGCAAGTGAGAAGTACACAACAGCAATAACATCATAGAATAGCATACTTGCATTAGTGAAATGCCCAAAGTGTGAAAAATTCAGTAAAGGAATCAACTAAAAAGGTAATAACTTACTTTTTTTTAAGCTTAATGATCAATGACAAAGAAGGCTCAGTGATATCCCAAAATATAGCAAGTGAGAAGTACACAACAGCAATAACATCATAGAATAACACACTTGCATTAGTGAAATGCCCAAAGTGTGAAAAATTCATTAAATGAATCAACTAAAAAGGTAATAACTTACTTTTTTTCAAGCTTAATGATCAATGACAAAGAAGGCTCAGTGATATCTCAAAATATAGCAAGTGAGAAGTACACAACTGTTAACCTTGAATCCAAGGATTTTGATGATCATAATTCATTATTGGTGTTCTATGTGTACTAATGTTTACCTTGAGCAAATTACAGATTAAAAGCATTCATCAACACAAGTAGTTACATATTAAAGCTCAAAGGAAAAAGCATCATCAAGACATATCAAAAAGGACTTAAGATTCAAAGAATTTATCAAGTTCTCATCAATGGGGTAGCTAAGATGGTGAGTTGTTTTAGGAAACTCTGTTAAAGTTTATATGAACATTTTGAAGCACATTTCCTAAATCATGCATAAACAACTCATTCATAATATTTAAGGATCAAAGGACCAAGCTAAACACATCATCAAAATAGGTTCCTGAAACATAAACCAATTCGGTCGACCGAATTGAAAGGGCATATTAAATCAGTCGACCGATATAAAAAGCGAGCTTGAATCAAAACCTCTAAACTATTTCGGTCTACCGAATCTCAGGACCTTTATTTTTCGGTTTACCGAACCTAGCATTTGAAAGACCCTCACTTGAGTTTCAGGCGACCGAAATTGGAGGGGCAAATAAATCAGCAGAGCCGATTCTCACAAAGAGTTTAGAACAAAGGAGAAAGGAGTTTCGGTCGACCGAAACAAGAGAACTTTTTCATCGGTCTACCGAACCAAGGCTAATGGCCATCCTTTAACCAAATCGGTCGACCGAACCTCAAGGGTGTTTTATTTTGGATTACCGAACCTGCGAAAATTCAAATTTCAAAAGGTATGTTTTTCTCAAAGTGTGTGTCCAACAGTTAGATTTCATAT